CCTACTAGACTATAAGCTCCACGAAGGAAGGAGACTATGCCTATTCATTTATTAAGCATATATGAGCTTACTTTTTGGTGGCCTGTTAAAAAAACCTATATGCCAGCTATTGTTGATTGGAGGATAAATGAAACGATGGGTATGATGGGTCTACCAAGTGTCCATCGCATAGTAGCATGAAACACATGTGAATACCACTCGGTGAGATCTAGTTTATCAAAATTCACACCACTTAAGCCAACAAAATGCCAGACCGACCAAAATAATGGTTCGGGTCTAGTTGGATAAAATATCATGTAATATCAGGCCCTGCTCTTATTTAGAAATTCTATTATAGACTGCTTCGTCCTAATAGAAGAATGAAGACCTGCAATATTATCATGAATTTAAGTTTTCATGTAGGGTCAATGTTGATCATCAGTGAAGCAGCTGACAAGAATTTATTGAGAATTAATGATCTGCAAGCCCCCGTGGTCAGTCTTAGGTGAGTGATGGGGCAGTGTGAGCCAAGGGTTCTGCCTAACGCAAGGTGATTAAATCCTTGATGGAGAGATAATATGTGTTCAGTTGACCAGACAATTAGGTATACATTGAAGTCAGTAACTGTTATGGGTTGAATTGTGCCCCATCCCCCAATTCACATGTTCAAGTCCTAACCTCCAGTACTTCAGAATGTGACCTCACTTAGGAATAGGGTCACTGCAGATATACTTAGTTATGATGAGGTCATACCGGAGTACAGTGGGCCCTTGCTCCAATATGACTAGTGTACTTATAAAAAGGGGAAATGTGAACACAAAGATAAGCACGCGGGGAGAATGCCATGTGAAGAGAGAGAGAGAAGACAGGCCATCTACAACCCAAGGAGAGACGCCTGGAACACATCCTTCCCTCACAGCCCTCAGGAGGAAGCAACTCTGCTCACACTTTGGTTTCAGGCTTCTAGCCTCCAGGACCGTGAGATAATAAATGTCTGTCATTTAGTTTGTGGTCCCTTGTTACGGCAGCCCTAGCAAATTAATACAGTGATAAACACTAAATTCTTCTCAGGGATCAGGGTTTCTTGACCTGGGCACTATGGACACTTGGGGCCAGATAAGTCCACGTGGTGGGAGTCCATCCTGCACATCATAGGATGTACAAGCATCCCCGGCCTCTATCCACACCGCGGATACGCCATGCAACACACACACACACACACACACACACACACACACCTTTTCACTGGAACCTGCACTACACCTGCTACTGTTTTCAAAGAAGAAACAAGTTCTAGAAATTCTAAGGAAAGAAGAAAAAAAAGTCTACCTAAGTACTCACTTACAACTTTCCCAATTGCAAATAAAGCACAGGACTTTCAAAATTATGGAAACTTACAATCTATAAATGAAACCCAAGAGTGAAATCCCTCGTCTTTACCTCTAGATGAGAAAGACTACGCAGGAAGGCGGAGCTTTAATTGGAGCCTTTATCAAATGATGACAGGAGTCCAATGGGATGACCCATTGAAATGGGCATCGTACAAATAAACTCCTAGAGCCAGCCTTTAGAGTCACAAATGCAAAACAATGGTTTGGACCTTCAGCATCAGCTAACTTGAAGTGGGACTGTGCCGAAGTTGAAGGGCAAGGAAAGGTCAACTCTTCTCAGTTTGTATATTTTTATAGGTTTAACCTGAGAAAAGAAACAAGAGACCCAACATTGCATGTTGGAACAGAAAAAAATGGAATTATTGCACTGTAACTCCTTGAAAACTCTGCAATACATTATATTAAATTCTCTTACATGTTATGTGGTTCCCAAATCAAACTTTTAATCCAGGCTTGAGGACTGAGAGGCTTCTTAAAATTCAATTAAAATGATACAAGCAGGTCCACATTATGACATGCTCCATTTAGAGACATGCATTTGGCAGGAAGACTTTTCTCTTTTTATCTTAAAATCGAGTTCAGGAAATGTTGGTTTAATTTTCTCTTTGCTTCAATATTTTATGAGTGCTTCCCAATGCATAGTCTCTGAAAGCACTAGATTACTGACACAGTGCTATTTCAGATGACAGGGAAGATTTTATTTGCATGAATTCTACATGTTGGAATTTTTATGCTTTTTTTTTCTTTTGTGCCTGGAAAGAGAGTTGTAATGCACAAAAGCATATTCCAATTCTTTACACAAGCACATGTATATATACTGAGACCTAGTATGAGTAAAAGTGGCCCCCAAAGTTTAAGATCAGTGCGAGAAATAACTGTTCTTCATAATCATTGCAGAATTCCCATCTTCAAATAATGGACTATTTTTAAGGAATATTTTTTAAAAGATTGTATTTTTATTTATTTGTCAGAGAGAGAGACAGAGAGCACAAGCAGGGGAAGCGGCAGGCAGAGGGAGAAGCAGGCTCCCCGCTGAGCAGGGAACCGTATGTGGGACTCGATCCCAGGACCCCGGGATCATGACCTGAGCCGAAGGCAGACGCTTAACTGACTGAGCCACCCAGGCGCCCCAAATAATGGACTTTTACTAACACAAGAACAAACACATTTTCCAAAAGGAGACACTTGCGTCCTTACATATCCAAATAAGTACAGCGCATCTATCATCTTCTCAAGGAAAGCACCCTCAAATTTCTCCACACTTTATATTTCCACATCGTCACAGATCTATTTCTGTACGAGATGCTAAAGCCTCAGAAAAAGACACTTACAGAGCACATTCACTTGTTCAGACCAAAGTAATAATTGACAGAAAATACCCTTCCTTGGTTTTGGTCCTTTCAGTATGCTATTAACTTTCCTCAAAAATTAATGTCCATGTTGTACTTGGGTTTTAAACCCAAAAAAGCACATATGTTCATAAATATATGATACCTGAAATATCACAGACACCCCAAATGTCAATATATTCTTATCACCTTTTTATTCTAATGCAAGTGGTGTGTTTTAGGACAAACATGCCATGCTAGCAGGTTACCTGTTTAAATGCTCATAAGCATATTTTGTTGAGTGGCTGTAGATGCGCTTTGGTGCACTGGGTGCTGTTTATATGCTTCTATTTCTGTAATTAGAAGATAAAATACACTGCACCGTTAATTGTCAGGCCCTTCGGTGACAGTATCGACGACTGCTAACCCACGGGCTTGATGAGACAAGTGTGCAGGTCTATAATTGAAGAGCTTCATTTTCATCACAAAAAGAGCTTAGAGCCTGATAGTTATCTCCTCATAAATTTGGAGATGTTCCGTAAATAATTAATAACTCCTCTCTGATAGTACACAAATAATGAGCAGAACTTGACTACCAAGTTTAAATATCAAGTCTGGAGGCGGCTGAATACTGAACATCTATCATTGTGGTGTTTCAACAATTGACTGTTAAAAGCCAGTGTTAATCCAGTCAAAGGGACATTTTTTTTTTTTGATAAAGACTCCCGTCCGCCATGTTCACATTTTGGAAAGCAAAAACACCCATGTCCAGTCATCTTAAACGTTCTGTCCCCAGCCGAAAAGGGGAGGAAATGATCACCTCGGCTTCTGAAATCGACTGCCATGTCAATTTCCGAAGCATATCGGAGGCACAATGCACACACGCGTTGCCTTTGCTATCATTATCTCTAGAGGTGTGTTTTTGGCTAGTGCCACGCACTATACTAGAAAACAAGTCGGCGTCTGTCTCCCCTTGTCCCCAGCACCTAAGTCCTCAGGCTTAACTTCTTCTCCGCGTTTACGGACGGATCTGCACCAGCAGTCCTTGGACACTTAAAAGTGAGGCATGCTGCCCAGGTTCTCCAAGTGACATTCAGAAGCAGGATTGACTTCAGCTCACCAGTTACCCTCAGCATCTCAAGAAACAGCCTGACCAAATCACAGGTGTGGTCCATTAATCCCAGCGTCACAAAATAAACTATGAGGTCCCGGTAAACACAACCACCCATTAGCGCGCTAAGGAAAAGTGACAGGAACCATTTGTGAGAGGTGACGATGTGCCCTGAGTGATAACACTCTCGATCATGTGATTCATTTTTTGTTTGCTCAACAACACGGTGTGTGTTTTTCCTGAGAGGAAGGACTTCAATATATATTTACTCAAAGCTCTTAATTTATACTTCCTTTCCTTTTAATTGGCGTCTTGTGATCTAAAATTAACCGGTGAGCATAGTCTCTCACTATTAGAGCAAACTCTCGGCTGAGTTTGCCATAATTAGACCCACCATCGCCTGAAGTTCGACAGACATCTGGAGACCTGACTTATTTCTTCCCTGGTGCATTCTATCCATATTTAGAGAGTGATTTTTAATTTGACGTATAGTCATATTAATTATCATCCCCCGAGCTGGAGCTAGGTTAATAACTTCACGTTAAAAGTGAAGTTCAAACAGCCTCGCCTGTAACCTTACCGAAGAAAAAGCCTACACGAAAAGGAATTTCTTGGCGAAACCCGAGATCGTCAGAGCACTCTAGCTCCCCAATAACCTGGATATCATTCACACAAGAAATACAAGGTCACATGTCCTCTAAAATCCCACATTTGCTATAGGCATTCCTCCCTCTATCCTTTTGTTTGTGCAAGTAACTGGATACAGGTACAATTCGGGTGAAATTAGCTTTCGTTAATGAGTGAAGAAAATAAATGCCCCCAAAATGCCCAAAGCCAGATTTTTATCTGCCATTCCTTCTTTCCTTCTCCCCCCCCCGCCCCCCTCTCTCTCTTCCTCCCTCCCTCTCTCTGTCTCTTCCTCTCTCTCTCCCCTGCAAGGACTGAAAATGATCCAGATCTTTCAAATTCGCCCTCACCTTGACAACGCGAAAATTACAAGCAGCAGTCAACTTTTACAAGATACCCTGATTGTGCAACATTTACAGGCTGCCAGAAAACATGCTAAAACTAATCAGATAACAAAGGTGAAGAGAAAAGCTTCACCTGCCATGCAGCTGGCAGTGAGTACACTTTTTATTTCCATGACATTTGCCGGCAGAAAGGGGTTGGCTTAAGGCGGATCGGACTAACCTTCAATTTGTCATAGCGCTCACTCAAAGCTGCCACCTGATGATCTCGGTGCCGCCCAACCAGTTTACACAAGGCACAGATTAACTGGTCATCGGTCACACAGTACATATTCACCTTCTCATCCTCGTGCTCCAGGCACATCAGCCCCCGGATGTGCGAGTCCGGAATTGGCTCAATCAGACGATGGCCTGTAAAGGGCTTCTTGTTTGGGTGAGTGGCTTTCAGGCACTCATCACAGTAGGACACTTCACAAGTGACACAGGTCTTCACAGCATCCTGGGCAGGATCCTGGTCACAGAACTGGCAGAGAACTTTCTCAGCGGAGGTCATGGTGTTGGCGTCGAATGCCCGCTCCCGGCGGGTCTCGCTAGGGGAATTGGGCCCGCTCACGGATGCCTTCTGGAACCTGTCGATGATGTTCTGCAGGGTGACGTTGCGCTTGAGTCCGTCTAGACCTCGCTGGCTGAGCGTGATGACATGTCGGCAGGTGGGGCACTGGAAGGCGGTGATGGACTCCACGGACTCGTTGGTGGCGCAGTGTGACACCAGGATGCGGTGGGCGCAGTTGAAGCAGAGGCTGTGTGCACAGGGTAGCAGGAGAGGGTCCTCAAAGAGCTCTAGACAAATAGGGCAGGTCAGCTCCGACTCCAGCGTTTCCATCTTCAGGCAAAGCTCTCCTGGGTCATCAGCAAAATCCAAGGAAGCTGATCAGCTATCTGGAAACAGAACGTAAGATCTGATTAGGCGCGAGGGGGTCAGCCATAGGGAGCTGTCAGCTTTGAATGCATCTCAGAATAATTCCAAACGCAGGTCATGGAAGGGTAAATGCGTGTGCATTCCAAATAATTCTCTTTCTATTCACTGGGGGAATAAGGAGGGGAGAAACACCCGAAGCCAGCATACCAACTAACATTTTCTCAAAGTTCCCAGTCACCAAAAGCAGAAAAAAAATTTTTTTTTTTCCCCCCGCAATTTTGTTTGTTAAAAGGTCTTACTCCAGACTGGCAAGTTATTGAAACGGTAATCTCCATAATTTGTATCTAATGACAATAATCTTACTGTGTCACGGCCAAGTTTTACCTTGTGTGGAAAATTAAAATGTAGAAATGTTAATTAACGAACTAGTCTTTCCTAACTTTGAATTGATGAACTTACACGTGAATGTTTATGCGTCTACAGGACTTTTTACGACACCACCGCAGGCTTCAGAGAAGTAGAAAGGCGCTTCTTGTGGAAATGGGCATGAAATGTGCATGAGATCAAACGCATGACTTCAGCGGAAATGATAATGCTTAAATACGGGATGTCAGCTACCAAAATATATTCCTGCGGAAAAACACTGACTTTCACAGAGATGATTGTGATCGAGGCCATGTTTTTTGGCATGTGTTCGTTACTCTCTTGAATAATTCTATTGTTTAATTCAGCAGTGGGATGTGGGTGGGCAGAGGGAAGCAGAGAAAAATATCTGCGGGCCTTTTCAGTGGCTGTGGTGAGCTTGGGTACCGACTAGTAACGATTTAGTTAATTAGGACAAGGATTTTCGTGGCTTCAATATTCATTGGTAAGTTATCAGCAGGGCTAACGACTGCAGCGCAGGCAGCAGTACTCTGAGGAGGCTTGCAAGGGCAGCTGAGGGATCCTGTGAAGCCCGCCTGGCCGAAGGAGTCCCATCAAGGGCTTGTCCCTGTGGCCACCGACAGGCCGGGCCGGCAGGAGATCCAGCCTCACACCCAGAGCCCTGTCGGCCCTGGGCTCGGTCTCCGTGAGCTTTGTCGCTCCCCGCCAGGCTGCCTTTGGGTGGCCCAGCTACACGCTCCCCGCACCCCGAAGACGGGCTGTTGCTTTTGTGAACTCCTGCCTGCCTTCCCTTCAGAAAAGGCAGGGGAAAAGAATCCCGCACAGACCCCGGTTCATTACCAGGGAAGAGGCCTCATGCTCATTAGCAGGCCTGGGAACCAAGCCTCTTTGAACCATCTCCCTTTCCAGACCGTTAGCAGAGGTCTGCAGAACAGCGCCGGGCATATTAGATGCAGTCCAGTGCGGCCTGTGGGAGAACAGTGCAGCTCACCCAGGGGACGCCAGGTTCCAATCACCCTCAGGGGGCCGGGGGGAGGGGGGAGTTGGGGGGTTCTTGGCCCGCTTCACATCCACTTCTACCGTTTAGCGATTCGGACAATCGGCCTTTTTGTATTCGCACCTCCCTTTATTTACAAAACTCGCGATTTCTAGAATGCGCTGCCCCTTTCTGAAATAGCATCCCTCAGAAATACCATGTGGGGCTTTGGTTAAGCTAATGCTCATATTGCCATCAACTAAACAGGAATTGATCATTAAAAGCGTCAAGTGCGTGCTGAGTTTGTTAAAAATTAAAGAGCTGCTGGCTTCATAGAAGCCTGGTATCTTAAAAAGATCTTCAGCCATTCGCGAATATTAAGTACACGAGGAAGAATGAGCGGGCAGCTGAGATTTGAAATATGAAAGCTTACTCATGTCTGCACAACCTGCCGTCCCCACTCGGTCCTAGCCACCCCTTCTGACAGATGGCTTGGACGAAATTGAAAAGGTTTACCTATTAATCATTATTTTGGTTAATCGTGGAAAAACAGAATTATCTCTAAATCGGGTTTCTTCTCTCTTCCCATCTGAAGAAAGTAAATTAAAGGGAAACCGTCGCCCTTTTGGTCCACTTTGTTCTCAGGTGCGACAAGAACGCCTACCGATAGATCTCCACACAGGGATGAGCCCCAATTATGTCTGGAGAGCTGCGAGGAAAGACTGTATTTTTCTGCAGGTGCCAGGATTCCAACCCAGCGCGGCGCAATCACAATTTCTAGAGGTGATTTTGCTGCCGACCCCGGTGGAAACGCTGACATCTGAGCTGAGACGTTAAGCGAGCTGGCTCGCGAAGCCAGAATCTGGCACCCTCACCACCCCGGCTCTGTGGTCGTGGGCCAGCCAACATCACACCTTACCTGGATTATCACAATACCTTTCCGAATGGCTTCCTGCCTTCTGCTCACTCTGGCCCCCACCCGCAATCTTTTACTCCCGAAGCCAGAGATCCTGTTAAAACATGACCGAGCCTGCCTCTTCTCTGCTCTCCCCTCCAGGGGCTTCCCATCTCCCTCAGGGAGCAACTCAGCAAAATCAAACCGGCCCCAGAAAACAGACTCAGACAGTGACTTCACTTCCTCCCACGCAAGCCCTCGTTCGGCTCTGGGCACACGGCCTCCTCGTGATGCGCCCAACGTGCCAAGCACGTCCCATCTCCCCTCCCCAAGGTCTTTGGAATCCACGTGACTCTCTGCTGCAGTGCCACCTCTTTGTGAACCCACAGAAGACCAATTCCCCTGCTACCCCCACGACCACCTACCCACCCATCACGGCGATCCTCTCCCCAGCTCACCCTCCCCCCCCCCGCCTCACTTTGTCCTTCCCCATAACTTTTGTCACCCAACATATTCTACTAGTTTGGTCACTGAGCCATCATCACTCCCCGCTGCCCCACGGGTAGAAGGTGAGCTCCATGTGGAGCAGAGACTTGGCTTGGCTCTTTGAGGGATGTCCTGCCAGCCCCTGGAACAGTGCCTTGCACACAGTGGGACTCAAACGTGGGTTGAATGAGTTGGGAAACAGACAGCTGTTGGGGTTAAAACCCTCAAAGAATACAACACCGCTGTCTCAAAGGATCTCTCAACATATTGGAACAGAGGTCAGCAAACTTTTTCTATAGGGGGCCAGAGAGTAACTATTTTTGGCACTGCGGGCCAGACGGTCTCTGACACAGCTGTCAGATGCAGTGTTGTGGCACGCCAAAGCCGTCACACACAATACACAAATGAGTGAGTGCGGCTGGCCAATAAAATCGGCTTTACAGGGGCCCCTGGGTGGCTGAGTCGTTAAGCGTCCGCCTTCGGCTCAGGTCACCATCCCAGGGTCCTGGGATCGAGCCCCGCATCGGGCTCCCGGCTCGGTGGGAAGCCTGCTTCTCCTTCTCCCGCTCCCCCTGCTTGTGTTCCCTCTCTCGCTGTGTCTCTCTCTGTCAAATAAAGAAATAAAATTTAAAAAAAAAATCGGATTTACAAGAACAGGTAGCAAGCTCCATTTAGCCCGAGGATCTTATTTTGCTGACCCACGGAGTAGAAGATAGAGACACGTACAACCAGACAACAGAGAAGTGAGAATCCCTCCCAAAGAGACAGGACTAAAATGCTGTGCGGGCAACAAGGGAACGGCGGTGGGGTGAGACGTGGACAAGCGGGTACAAGTTTCGAACGCTAACGGGAAATGATAGGCAATGGGATTTCACCCTGACATCAATGGAAATAATGTTGAGTCGAGTGCTTAGGGGCACTTCATGTTAAGAATGATTTAATAGCAGCTGCTCAGAACGGGATCTTTTGCTTTTATTGCCATAGCGCTTGGCACGGTGTTTTGTGCAAGCATCTACGCTGCAGATGTTGGTTTAATGGTATTAAGTGATGACTAAGTATCTGGATGCGCAGTGAGGTTCAGCCAATTTTCGGAATCTTGTGCCCATATGTTGCCAAAAGGGAAGGGGCTCTGGGTTCGATATCTATAGTGGATCTGATTTTTTTTCTCCTTTGATGCAGATCTTGCTGTGGTGTAGGTAATATTCTGGTGACATTACTCAACAATATGTCACTGGTAAGCATGCACGCTATTCCCCCACCCGAGAAAATTAGCATGATTTATTTTTTAGCTTTTTGAGAAATGAAAATACCATTCACTCTTTCAGCAAATATTGAAGCCTCTCTAGGCTCTTGGTGCTGGTACAAGTGACAGTAACACTTGGCCCCTGCCTCAGTGATCTTATGGGGAGAGAAAACAGCATAGAAAAAGACACGTGCCAAAGACCGGGGGAGAAGAAGACGGGAAACTTCCCGAAGGAGGCAATATGTGAGAAGGATTTTTGAAGATGAACGGGGGTTCACCAAACAGGTGTGTGTGGTGGGGGGGGATTTGCGAAAAATGTTATCTTTTCCTTTTCTTAACTCCCATAATTTAATGTCTAGTCCTCAAAAAGAGAGAGAGAGATTCTTAGCCTTCGTTACAATAGAAGGAAATCACACGTGCGTATCATTGTCAGGAAATTCTATAGCTCAACATTTTTCTGAATGGGCTGATTGGTCCTCATTCAGAGGAGGATGTGGGTAATCATGGGAACCCCTTGCAACAAACTGGGAATGGCGACAATTTACAGCTCACACCTCTGCTTGTCCACGGTTTGTAGTCTAAAACAGGGCATGGAATAGAGGGAAAGGAGAGAGCCGGATGGGCGGCCAGACGGTCGAGGATGACACGCAGTTCGGCTATTTTATTAGCTGCGTGGCCCTGGGACAGCGTCCACAGATGTTCCCTCCAGTTTCTTCCAGCACTCACTCCGAACAATCCCTAAGCAGGACCGTCCTTAGCCATGGGCTGCACTTGAGCCTCGCTTCCTGGGACGCACTGGATGCAAGACACCTTTTCCAGAAACTTTCTTACAAATTCAAGACTTCTGAGGAAAACCGATAATGTCAAGGTTTTCACACCCCTGTCTTCCTCCTGTCCCACCCTCTCTCATTCTGTGTGTCACTGAAACTGTGCTCTTCTGGCTTTCCTCTCTCTAAGCACTGCTGACTTCTCCTTCCAGCGAAGCAGAGCCTGGGTGTTTTCTGAGGGTCTGGCCCTCCGTCCAAAGGTCATCAAAGAGGGTCAAAAGGTACAGACTTCCAGTTGTAAAAGAAAGAAGCCCCGGGGGTGTAATGTACAGCACGGTGGCTGTAGGTAATAACACGGTATGTACAAATAGGGAGTCAGGTTGCACACCTGAAACTAATGTAATGTTATATGTCAATTACACCTCAATTAAAAAAGAAAAAAGCCATCCAGGTTGTTCATTCGTTTCTCGTACAGCGTCTATGAGAATGACTCCTAGGCTTGTCTCTCGCAGGGTCTCTCTTTCCAGAATCCCAGCTCAGCACAGATAGTGAGTGCTCTGCTTCATTTACTGTAAATGCCTCAATTTGGAGTGTGCGTCCCATGGGTTTCATCAGCTTCCCTCCCAAACCTGTATGCCCTACAAGCCTCTGGAGTCTCCTCATGGTGCTTCCGTTCTCCTGATCACTGCAAGTCCGAAACTCGCCTCGTGAGGCTGCTACCGCTGGCCTGAAAATGGGGGAGATGAGGGCACGATCCACGTGCACTGGACGGAATCACAGGGGCCCTCACATGTGGAAATGAGAGGCAGAAGAGTAGGGCCAGGTGATGAGATGCAGAAAAGACTCGATGACCGTCGCTGGCTTTGAAGATGGAAGGGCCACAAGTCAGGGAATGTGAGCTGTTTCTAGAAGCTGCAAAAGGCAAACAAACAGTCTGCCCCAGAGCCTCCTGAAGGAACACAGCCCTGCAGACACTCTGCCCTCCAGTGTGGTTTAAGCTATCATGGCGCTGGTAATTTGTTCCGGCATCAATAGGAAGCCACACACTCTCCTTCCCCCAAATCCAAATCATCAGCCAAGACATGTGAGGGTCAATCCCTCGTTCTTTGATTGGTTTCCTTCTCTCTGCTCTCACTGCCTCTGGGTTGATCCAGATCTTCTTTCCTGCATTCCTAGACTATTACACCCCACTCCCCCACACACAAACACCTCCTAATTTGATTCCTTACCTCCAATCTTTTTGTCCCTCAGTTTCATCTTTGCCACATGCTTCTGGCACCTCGTCATTTTCCTGTCACTTCTCTTAGAGGCCCACACATTGAGCAGCTAGCTCCCTGCTGGCCAGAGGATGAGTCCCAATGGATGCCTTAGCTCCTGTTTCAACACCTTGCCCAAGTGTCTCCCGAACTGCTTCTTCAACCTGATTCCCACGCACTCACCTCCCATCCCAGGAACCCGGGGGATGGGACCATTTGCTGCTCTTAGCAGCTGCCTTTGCCTTCCTTCCCAGCACAGATCCTTTTCCCCTTTGTGAGATTCTTTTTTTTTTTTTGAGTGTGTTTCATGTTTATTTTCTTGTTTTTGTTTTCTGGTTTTTTTAAGCTGACGGCAGAACCTCCTAGAGGCCCAGAGAACCCTGGCCATTGTTGTATTTGGAGATTTCATATTAAACAAAGAAGAATTGTTTTAGAACATGGCTATAAATAGTGCAACATGCCTTAAATGTTTACAATTAAGGTAAGGCTTTTAGCTGAAAACCGCAAAGCGGTGTAACTACCATATTTACAAAATAACCGAAACATTCATTTAAAAATAGTATTTCCTGGTACACAAGAGAGTGATCAGTAATGGGACTGTGGTTTAAAGTTACATGATTCATCCCATTCTTTCAGTAGAGCTGGATCAGCTCCGGGACTGATATAGGCACACACGCGCGAGTGCAGACACAAACACAAATCTCATACGGAGTTAACACTCATCGTCTAAATTTGAGGCCAATCGTAAAATGGGTGGCCTGAGCCAAATGACCACCTACTCCTCGAAATCCCCCATGATAAATCCGGGTGTCAGAGGCTCGTGCCTTTTGGGGTTAAGAAAAATTAATCAAGAGAGAGATGGACAGCGGGCGGTGAGGGCTGCAAGGATGATCGGACCTTGGCACCCAGGTGATGGCTAAGGTGATCTGGCTGAACCAGCTGCCTGGGCAGATGGCCCCTCGCCCCCTCTGGGCTCCAAGTATATCATCCGGAGGTAGCACACATCCCAGCAGGAGGACTTTCCTGGAGGGAGAAGGGCTTTCTTTTGTCCAAGGTGCGGGCTCTTGGGGGAAACGGACTCAAGGAGACAGTCCCCAGTAGAAGAGGACGGACACCAGGACTTAGTGGAGATACAAGGTTTGGAACTGAGAAGGGAGATGGGGAACTCAGGCTGGATGTCCTTATGGATTACTGTTCTCAGCCAGCGAGATGCAAGTGAGGAGGAAGCTTCCTGGCTGTTGGAGTCATCTTTTCTGCCCTCTCCTCTGAAGTAAGAGCAAAACCATCGTCTGGGCAAGTCCATGCAAAGAAAACATTCAACCCCCTGTGCTGTCACAAGCCTTGCTATCATCCTGCTCACTAGCTCATGTTAGAATTTCACCACTTTATTCCTGGTAGTCTCCCTGGACGTCTGCAGTGACACAGAGAAGAGAACCTGCACCTTAAAGGAACACCGAGGAGCCCTTGGGAAGAAGACACGCATTGCGAGGTTTAACCTGTGGCCAACGTCAGTGAGCAGGTCCAGATCAAAATCCCCAGAGTATGGAAGTTTCACCCACATATGCAAGTGACCAAGAATTAGGAGTCTCCAGACCAAGTGCAGTCTCTGAGTTCAATCACCCACTAGAAGGAGCTACCTGATTGTCAGCATGTCATCCAGGAGTTTCTTAATTCCAAATTTCTCTTAACGGTGTTTTGACATTTTAATCATAAGGTAAACCCATCTCTCAGCGCTTCCCTGCAAACTACTCTATGTCATGTCTGCAAACTCCATGAACAATGATCACTCTTCTGATTTGGAGTGTATGACAAAGAGCACACATTCCAGCCACCAGTAATTTTACTTTCAGTCCCTCACTTTCGACGGCTCTGAAAGCCATCACTATGAGGGAAATTCATGAGTCACTAGACCAAGGAATAAACTTGGATACCAACACTGGGTGGCCGGCGGTCAACTGTTCCTACCAGGTGGCTCACAGCCACTGCCCGGATGATCCCTGAGGCACTTCCTCCCGTTTTTTTCTACATATCCTCTGGGGTATGGAAACTAAGCTTGATGTTAAATTTACCAAAACAGAACCGAAACGACAAACACACCACCAAAACTGTACAAATGTTACACCAGATCACATAAAAACGATTTGGGCGATTGGCAGAGAGAAAGCCCTCAAAAGTGTTGTAACTAACAAACAGCATCCCAAATTCTAGGAGTAAATTTTCTTTAGAGAGTCCTACATTTCAGAACTACGACCAAGTCAATTTCCTATCCCCTCTCTTCACATGGGTAATGAAGATTTAGCTGGCTTATTGCCATTTGGATTTTTGCTCTGAGATTATCCCTGTTATAGAACCACAGGTGGATTTTTTTTTTTTTTTTTGAGGATCGTGGAATGATGTTTTTATCTTAGATCAGAAGAAACACGGACTTTCAGAGGACTCAAAACTTTGGAACTGTGAACCTCTAGAAATTAACCTCAGCTTGTGAGGCAGAAACAATAGAAACTGGGTACTATACTCAAGAGGAATTCACCACAAATAGAGTATTTTAAATAACATAATACGAGCACTCAACGTCTGCATATTTGGTCATGGTTTAGTATTTAGCTTTGAGTTATAAAAACCACAGAATAAACACCCTACCCAAACGCTGCTTTACCGATTAGCACCCTGGCTGATTTGAGACACAGGCGAGTCAGTAAATGCACAGTAAAACAGGGCCATAGACGCGATGCAGAGGGGAGAGGGAGATCCAACTGAATTTACTGGCATTCTGAAAGACTGGAAATTGATACCACAACAGAGGCTACTTCCTACTCCAAATTGCGGCAGAGAGCAGTCAAAATGCAAAGTGGCCCTTAAAGCAACAATACAAATAACACACTAGCAGGAACAGGTGGGGGAAAAAAAAGTGATCTGTAACACTCTATAGGTAATGCCTCTGAAAGAGCGCTGTGGTTAACCTCCGACTGTCAGCACACTCAAATCCGTTCCCTTAATCAGTGATGGATGACTAAGAATTTCTGCCAACCAAATTTTAAGGGACCAGAGGGACTGACTGGGAAAAAACAAAACAAAACCGTGACAAGCAGGTAAGCACTGAGGCACTAGTCTCAAGTTTTAAAGTAACAAATTAATACAATAGATGTTTTTAATAACTTGCCACTCGGTCTTTATTCTGAGGAGTGCTGGAAGTTAAAATGTTTCACCTAATACCAAAAGTGAGAAACAGGGAAGACTTTTAATTTCACCAAACCACCCCCCCCCCCCGCCACTGCCGCCCCGGCCTGGTGGAATTCATGCAGATTGAATTAAACTGTTCGCAAAACCTCCGCTATCCTTCCACATCTGTCCATAACGTGCTCGGTTTTTTAGTAATTGGATCTCTAGGATAATCACATACTCTCTTGACCATGCAACCTGATTAATAATGAATGAACATTCCTGAAAAGAATCACTTGGAAGCACAGCAGATGTCTTTGGGGATATGAAGGCTTTAATGATAAAAATTAAGGAGAAATGGGAGCTAGGTCACACTGTCTGGTTATTTTAATTGAAACCTAGTCTTCCAAATTTACTTAACAGAATGCTTAAATACACCTTCTGGAGTTCATTTATACAAGCAGACAAGAAAAAAAAAAGACACCAATGACAATGCAAAAAAGCAGTCCTGATTTCTCCAGGACCAACTGCCCCCATCCCGCTGCCCTCACAGTACAGAAACCCCCGCGACAGTCTCACCAATGCAATTTGTCCTACTGTTAAGACTGATAAATAGGTTACAAACAAGAAATAGCACATTTGTCCTTACTAGTTCTCTTAGCATCTCTCCAGATTCTTACAAAGAGATCACCTCGAATACCCACCAATGGGCTGCACCCTAGTTCTTGTTGAAGAAACATCGCCGTAGGCAGAGGATGGGGACCCACGAAATGACAGACAGGCCACCGAGACCAGATGGCGGGTGGCAGGCCGTGGCGGAGCAGTCCTGTGTGTCTGGGAGAGCGTCAACAGTGAAACACAACAGGAAAATCGACGCGACAATTCCAGGAAGGCCAGCTCCACCTCATCCCACCCCGCCAGGGTTGCCGAGTTGAAGAATCAAAACTCCCTCTTGCTTTCCAACTGCCTTTTCCACACAGCTCGGCAGGGCTTCCCTGTGCTCTCGCCCACTCAACGTTCAACTCAAGCCAAATGAAAAGGCAGCTCAGGGCAGATTAATACCCACCGCTTGGTCCCCCCCCAGAAAACGATGACTTGGCACGGAGATCTGTACCCTCCTTGCTCACGGGGACCAGCAGCGGGTCAGTGTCCCACAGCTGAGTGCTGGGTGCCAATTTCCCATGCTGCCAACTGGAGCGTCCTGTCCAGCTCCCGGGGTCAGCAACGGGCGCTCGCCTCCCTTGCCCCCCGAAGCACACGATCACATTATGTGCTGGACGCCGGGTTGTTGTTGCTGTTGTTGTTGTTTTTTAAATAATATACTGATTATTTTGTGTCTATCTTCTGAATTAAAATATAATACCTGGAAGGAGTTTTTTAAAACATTACATCAAGAAGAACTATCTCTCGTACAGACACAATAAAGTGCTTATTTTTTCCTTCCCAAAATAGAGATCTAAATTGCAATTTATTATCCTGATAAACAAATGAAAATACATGTGTATGAAACACATACATATGCCTATACACACAGAAGCAATACATATATACACATACATATATGCATATATTATGCATGCATATAACCTATCATATAGACATACGTTTATATATATGTATAATGCCTACATATACATGTAAGAGCAAATCTGTGATGGGTGTCCCAGATTTCAGTTTCCAGAATGGCAAAGAAAAGAGTGAATTGAGAATGGAAAGTAATCTTTTAAAAACTGACTGCCTAAAGGAAGAAGAGGCAGTAGTCTTCCCAAAAGCAAAAAAAAAAAAAAAAGTCCTACCCTGCAGTTCTTTCAAGGATGTTGCTTATCACCACGCAAGACAAGAAACTGCAACTAAAGTAAGTCATCAGGAAAGTGTAAAAAAACCAAACCCAGCCAAAACAAAAAAACAGGCTGATTGCAAACCTGCACGATTCATGTGCAAACCCAGACATCTGGCCTCCACCAAAGGTGTGTAAGAACTTCTTGCTAAAGGGCGAGCAGGAGGCAAGGACCGTCTCCTTGTTGCCTGGCTGGAACGTCGAGACGCCTACTTTCATGCCATTGCAACACCTCACGGTAAACCAAAGCATGCTTCACATGTTTGGACATAAAAATGCAAACATATACTTTCTTGGCTTATGTCTGTACAAATCATAATTTCATTTGTCTGTTAACAATAAACAAAGGGATTACTCAATTTCACATACAGATGACTTCCCAAAGAAGTCCTCGCTATCCACAGAAAAGACACGCGTACATCAAACAGAATTCGAAAGAACTTTTTCATCGTGAGATTTGAAAGCATTGCTTTGTTAAAACAACATTAAAATTGTCAACATTTCTACGGGACGTGGCTAACTTGTCTGTATTTTGGCGCAGCCGGGGGGGGGGGGGGGGAATCAGCCTGAACGTCTAGAGTTGAAACACCAGGAAACAAACACGTACTCCACCCCTCAAAAACAAAAGAGAAGGATAAACAACAACAACCTTTATAATCTTCTACAGAGCCTAATCTGACAACCTCTACAGGAGATTTCCCACCATCAGAGGGTCTCAGACATTTCATGTCTATTACAGTTGATACGAAGAAAGAAAACGTCCAGTGTTAAAGGCAAATGGAACCTATTTTACATTCAATTGAAAATGACTGATGTTTCCCCGGTCTATGCTGCACCGAGTGTCAGGCAAGAATTTGGTGCTGAAGGCAGCGATAGCAGACGCGAGAGAGAAGGAAGAGAGCGAGTACTTGTCACACCTAGTCTCCTGACAGAAGTCTAAATCGCCTCTCCTGGAGAGTGGACCGCCACTGTGATGCTGGTGGAAATGGAAGCCACCGCTGATTCCAGTGAAATCTCCCGCAGATAAAAAGCACTTCAACACCGCCTTCCCTGAATGCTCTTCCAAGTGATTTCAGTTCAACAGGCATTTCTATACCCATTTGTAGAACTGCTCTATGTCTATATAAAACCCTATATATGTGGTTTCACTTATTTGTGGAACATAAGGAATAGCATGGAGGACATTAGGAGAAGGAAAGGAAAAATGAAG